TCTGCTGTCAGAGACTTCTCCAAAGTACTGAAGAGCAGTGATGTCAGTCTAGAAACTAAGGTGTGCCTGACAAAGGCCATGAACTTTGCAATTACTTGCTATGCTTCAGAGAGCTGGACAATGACTAGTGATGAAAGAAGGATAGTTGATGTCTTCGAGCTATGGTGCTGGAGAAGAGTAGTGAAAATATCATGGACTGCTAGGAGAACAAAAAAGTTTGTACTGGAGAGGGTAAAGCCAGGCTGCTCCTTGGAGGCAAGGATTCTGAAGCTTCGTGTGACATACTCTGGATATGTTGCAAAGCGGGGTCAGTCCTTGGAGAGGGATGTCATGCTTGGGATGGTGGAGGGACAGCACAGGAGAGGAAGACCCTCAATGAGATGGACTGATTGCAACACTAGGGTAATGGGAATAGGTGTATAAAAGACAATAAGATTGGCAATGGATAGGGCATGGTTTAGGGTTGTTGTACATAGAATCGCTATGAGTCACAGGTGACTCAACAGCACATAACAACAACACATGCTGTTACCTCAAGCATATGTTTCATGCTTTGAAAAGAAAAACTCCTTTAAAGGGGATTTTTATATGTTTTATTTTTTTTTTAAATTTTTATTATTTTTGTGTGTACCGTCAACTTGGATCTGACTGGTAAGGAGGAGATTGCCCCTCCTTCTCCAGCAGAGCATCTGGTAGATTTGAACAGCGTACCTCTGGGATTGCAGTGCAGCTTTTTGCCCCTAGGCCACCAGAGCTCCCTGATTTTTATGTTTTAAATAACTAAAGATAACTTCTTTCAGCATCCCAGTCTGTTAGAGTATCTGGAATTTAAAACCAGAAAGTCCAGAAGAATCATCAAATACTGAATCTGAAAATGACTTCAGAAATAAAGTATAGGCTTCAGGTAAATGAAAATAGCTGGAAGGAAGAGTACACTCTGATATGGGCCATGTTCAATAGAAACTGTGACTAACAGCTATAATATTTCAGGAGCAAATATGGTAAATAATTCACTAGCAAAATTAATCCTTCTCATTTTGTTGCTGGGTGCTGTCTAGTCATTTCTGACTCAGAGTAATCCTGTGTATAACAGAATGAAACATTGTCCAGTCTCATGCCACACTCATGATCACTGTGATGACAGAGACTATCGCTGCAGACACTGTCATTCCTTCTCACTGAAGGTCTTCCTCTTCCAAGGCAGATGTCTCACTAACTGGGCAAAGAACGCTTCTGCCAATGTCTGTAGTAATTAGAAGGACTACAAAAGAAAGATATTCAGATTAACTACAGTTTGATGAGAAGAGTATCCTAATACACTGAGATTCATTCATTCATTTCTAATCTTTATGAATAGATACCAGGCACTGCTCTGAATATTAAAGACAGAGGTTAACAAAATATAATGAATCCTAAGTGATCCCTGACTCCACAGCTCCAACTCAACCATTACATTCCACTCAGGAGCAAATACTAGCTATAATTATGTGAGTAATGTTGATGGATTTGCTCTTAAAATAACCAGACTTTTAGGAAAACCCTCTGTAAGAGCCCTGGATAAATATATAAATTCTGTTTAGGGGACTCAAATAACAGATTCAAAAGAAATTGCAGCTATGATCCAAGAGTTCTGAACCATATACTGCTTATGCCCAAATAGAGGCAAAAACGTTTTCTAACTTACAGAAAAAGATAATCTTTTCTAGCAAGTTCCTATAATGAAGAAATTGAAGACTGTTACCAACTTCTGTGGTCTTAAACTGATCAAACATGCACTCAAGATACAATTATAATTACTGGTTATTAAAATGCAAACCACCACTCATCTGTCAGTTGATCATACTGTGGTTGCTTCTGAGTTACTGTAATGCTGTTGCCACTGGTACTTCAAATACAACACTGGATAGGTTTCAATGAAGCTTCTAGACTAAAATAGAACAGACCTATTTCTGAAATAACGGGTCCTAGAAATATAGATGCAAAGTATTTTCTGGTATAGCGCTGGAAAATGAGTCCTAAAATATTATGGAAAAAAATGCCTTCTCAGTACAGATACTGCATACATAATGCTGCTGTTATAAAATAGGACTGATATGGGGGCCCAGGCAGAAACTAAGAAAAGAGGTGATAAATAATGAACACTACAGTTAAATAAATGAGAGAAAGACTTGTGCAAGAGAAATATATGATTAGGTATTAATATGTATGACAACAGTACAGAATAAGAGGTGCATAGCAAAGTGGACTGGGGGGCGGGGGAGGGAGGAAATTGTGCAACAATGAAAGAATCTTTTTTAAGAGAAAAACAAAGTGGGGATAGGGTAGAGAGGAAAATGTGCAACAATGAATGAATGGAAATTTAAGTTTTCTGTAAACTTTCATTAAAATATCAGTTAAAAAAACATACACAGCCAAACTTATAAACTAAAAAAAAAACCCCAAACAATACCCCACAAACCTGCTTCCTCTAAGTAATCTACTTTAATGATATGACACAAATAGAGTAGGAGAATCTTCATTTGCTGATGGAACACAATTCAAAATAAGGAGAAACAGCAGCAAACATTCATTAACTGGAACATGGAATATAGAAACTACATATCTAAGAAAACTGGAAGTTGTAAAAAAAGAAATAGAGTAGTTCTGGGCATTTTGAATCAGACAGTGATATGGTCTACTATGCTGAGAATAACAAATTGAAGAAGAATAGTGTTACATTAATTGTCAAAAAGAATATTTCAAGGAAAATAAAGTTTCGACATCTGTCTTGAAGTACAGTGAAGTCAGTCCATACAAGAAAGACCTGTTAACTTGACCATTACTCAGTAATTAATTATTTTTAAAAACCAGGTAGAGTACTATCTAGAGAGGGTTGTGCCAGAAGCAGCCACGGAATAAGGGAGAGATATCATTGCTGATGTCAAGAAAGATCCTTGCTGAAAGCAGAGAATATTGGAAAGATGTTTACCTCTGTTTAATGATTATGCAAAGGCTTTTAACTGTACCAATGATAACAAATTATGGATAACATTGCAAAGAACAGGAATCTCAGAACACTTAATTATGCCCATCTAGAACCTGTGTTTAGACCAAGAGCGTAAAGAAGAGGATTATGCTTAGTGAGGGTCAATGAAAGAGAGGAAGATGCTCAATGAGATGGACTGATATAGTGACTAAAATAATGACTCAAACATATTACTTGTGAGGATGGTGGAGACTGAGGCAGTATTTCAGTCGTTCATAGGATCACAGCTGGAACTAACTCACAAGTACCTAACAACAACATGCTTCACGTCAAAGGGACAAACTTTTAAAGTCCTTTACTTGGAATGATAGATAACCTTACTCAACCTTAATGCTGGGATTTTTTTAAAGAGGTAAACAAGCTTAGTAAAACAGCAGAAAAAAGAAAAATTTAGTATTAATTTAGTCATGAACTTAAAAATTCCAAGTGTTAAATGTAAATAAATTATATTAAAGAATACTTTATAAGGAATAAGCAAGTGATGAAATTATAGAAAATGTAGAAAATGGTGGATAAATTATAAGGGGGAAAAAACCCCTTTCTGATGCTACACTAATATATTTTTTCCGGTTTGGGATAAATTTTCCAAAGGCTATAAAACCAAAACACCTAGTGCAACAATGAATGAATGAAAACCCAAAATCTCTGTAAATGTTCACTAAAACTAATAAAATTTAATAATAATTTAAAAAAACAAAACAAAAACACCTCACTGCTGTCAAGTAGATCCAGACTCATAGAGATCTTGCAGAACAGAGCAGAACTGTCCCAGGGGGGTTATTCAAAGCTGTAAATCTTTATAAAAGTAGATGTCACTGCAAAAATGAATGAATGGAAACCCTAAGTCTCTGTAAACTTTGATTAAAATTAATATTTTAAAAAAAAGTAGATGTCACATCTTTTTCCCAATGGAGCGGTTGGTAGGCTTAAATTGTTATTAAATTAAAAACCTTTCAGTAAGCAGCCAGGTGCTTTAATCACAGTGCCACTAAGGCTCTTCCAGAGATGATGCTAAATAGTTAAAAACAAAGATTATAGGCTTCTGGGGAACTCTATTTGACTGACTTGAAAAGTAGTTCAAATGCAAAAGTCATTAACCATTTCTCTTCTGTCCTTAGGCATTTATTATATTTACATTACCAAATTTATTTCCAGTTTTCCAGGTAGAAAAATTAGAAGTCACTTATAATCAAAGTTGCACTGTATTGGGACACATATATACTCACAAACTGAACTGGACTATATGGCTGTGATCTTATGATGAAGTAAAAGAAGATATAATTTAACATTTATTAAATATAGACAATACTCTAGACCTGTCCTATGAGCATTGATACAAACAATTTCAATTACTTTCCACCGTAATACTATGAGATGGAATTTAAGGACTTTCCTAGACTATTAAAAAGCAAAACTGGAACTAAAATCTTATTTCAGAGCCTATGTTCTTCTTTCTATTATTTTGAAACTCTTCACTTTGGAACCATGAACCTGAAAGATGGTATTTATCTACCTACCTGTGTGTGGCCACTTCGTTTTGTGAGCTTCACTCTAGTTTGATCGAGGCAGGGCACATCTCCATAGCGGTTCTTCTCCAGGTTTCCTGGTGACCTGAAGGATATGAAACAGACAAGCTAGAATAAAGAAGAAGTGGCATAGTGTGTAAGTGTAGATACAAAGTCTGGCAGTGAAATACGGGTGTCAGTTACTGCTGGGGGTGGGAATGCAGGAGCTCTTTATTCTCTAGTCTATAAAGTTCTGTATCATTTGAAGTTTTTTTATAACAAGTATGCATTACTTTAGTAAAAGAAAATAAAGGTATTTTCCTTCCAAAGAGCAGAAAAAATACAGTACCAAAACAAAACAAAAAAAGCTGTCAAAAAAAATTTCCTACTCTCATTTTTCAAAAGACATTATAATGATAAATCTCTTAAATTCTTTTTTTAACAAGGTGAGTTGACAAATGTTTTACTCCAGTCCATCCAGAAGCCTCATTACAAAGACGATAAAAGAGCTAATGGTATAAACCAGAAAGAATAAAGTGACAGGAGAAACATCAACAAAGATTTTATTTTTTTTTATTTATTTTTTTTTTATCAACAAAGATTTTAACCCAAAGAGAATGCAGATGGAATCAGCTCACAGCTGACCTTCCAGCTGGTTTTCAAAGCTGTAAGTCATACAGAAAGAGAGATAGCTCATCTCTCCCCCTTGGAGTAGCTGAAGGAAGACCCAAACCTCCAGACAGGTACCATATTTGGGTTAGCAGTGCAATTTCCTGTGGGCTAGGCTAACAGAGCTCACGAGATAAGTGACTTCTAAAAGTTTAAAATTAATATCCTTTGTTTTTGAGAGAGAAAGACAGACTGTATAGATAAAATAAGAATAGGCTACTCTTAGGGACTGAACTTTGTCTCTCAAAATATGTGATATAATCTCGCTTGGAAATAAGGTTTACTCTGTTATGGTAATTTGCTCATATTAGTGTAGGGTATGTCTTAGACCTAATCATTTTTGCTATATTAGGCAAAGAGATGCAACTAAAATGAGGGAAAGATAGATGTCACATGGAGATCACTAAGAAATGGAAGAATGGCAAGATTACAGAAACTGAGACAGAAGTCTTTTCCTAGATTGCTGGTGCCCTGGAGCCTTGGTGGTACAGTGGGAAAGTGCTCAGTTGCTATCCAAAGGTCAGAAGTTCAAGCCAACCAGTTGCTTCATGGGAGAAAGTTGTAGTGTTCTGCTTCTGAAGAGATAACAGTCTTGGAAACCCTCTGAGGCAATTCTACCACCTTATCAACCTTCTATGAGTCAGAACTAACTTGATGGTACATAATGATGATTGCTTCCTAAACAGTGAGTAAACAATTTCTGTTCATTAAAGGTTAAAAATATGTATCTGTGGTGTTTCTATCACAGCAGCGCTAGATTATATATACTATGAAAAGGAATTATCAAGAAAAGACTTGTAGATTAAAAAATGTTATCAGAAACAACTACAACAGAAAAATAAAAATAAAATCTCCCTGGATATGAAACAGAAGGGGATAAAAAATATGAGAAAAGAAATACAAAGTCCTTCAATGCAGGTGTCAGCAAATTAGGGCCTACCCACTGTTGTTGGAAATAAAAGTTTTACTGAAACATAGCCAATTTATTCAAATATTGTCTCTGGCTGCTTTCATGGCTGAGTTGAGTATTGTGCAACAGAGACAATTAAGATCCACAACTCTATACTACTTCAATCTTTAAGAAAAAAAAATCTGTTAAACTCTTATCTTGGAGATCCAAATAGACGGATAGAAATTTCAGACAGAGAAGACAAACAACATAACACCAGAGGGAAAAGTAGAAGGAAAAAAAGGGGGTAAAAAAAAATTTCCTAGAACTAAAGAATACAAGCCTTCTGATTTAAAAAAAAACCTAACAAGCAATGTTTGTTATCTGAGCAATCTAATTAAGACAGACTAGAAAGAAGGCATGGACAACCACTTCCAAAATGGCAGGACTTTGAAAACCCTATGTACAACAGAGCATACTTAAATTAATGGATATTGCAACTGAGGCTAAGCCCTCAAGTATGGGAACAAATAGAAGGAGGAAAAGCTGCAAGCAGACATTAGTGGTTGGAACACAGAATGTAAGAACCATGAATGTAGGAAAATTGGATATTGTTAAGAGGAAAATGGAACAAATAAATACTGACATACTAGGTACTGGCGAAATGACATGGACTGGCATGGGACATTTTGAGTCAGAGGACCGTATGATCTACTACACTGGAGACAAAAGGGTGAAGAAAAATGGGGTTGCTTTTATGGTTAAAAAAGTCATTTCTAGATCCATCTTGAAATACAATGTTGTGAGCAACAGGATAATATCCATACGCATACAAGGAAATCCAGTGAATACAACCATCATTCAAATATATGTACCAACAACCAGAGCCAAAGAGGAGGAAATAGAAGATTTCTACCAGTTTTTGCAGTCAAAGATTGATCGAACATGCAATGAAGATGCATTAATAATAATGGGTGACTGGAATGCAAAAGTTGAGAAGAGAGAAGCAGCCTAAGTAGTAGGAAAACGTGGACTTGGTGACAGAAATGAGGCCGGAGATAGAATGATAGACTTTGGCACAATCAACAACATATTCATTGCAAATACACTTTATAAGAAACACAAACGCAGGCTATACACATGGATTCATCTGATAGTATGCATAGGAATAATGAGATCAATTACATCTCTGGAAAGAAACACTGGAGAAGCTCAGTATCAGCTGTGAAAACTAGGCCAGGTGTTGACTATGGAAGAGACAACCAACTATTCGTATGCAAATACAAGCTGAAGCTGAGGAAAATTAAATCAAGTCCACAGGAACCAAAATTTGACCTTGAGTCTATCCCATCTGAATTCCAAAACCATCTCAGAAACAGATTTGAGGCCTTGGACATTAATGAGCGGAGACCAGCAGAGCTGTGGGAGGATATCAAGAATATCATCCAGGAAGAATGTAAAAGGTCATTACAAAGGCAGAGAAGGAAGACAAGACCAAAATGGATGTCAGAAGAAACTCTAAATAATGCACTGGAGGGCCAAGGCGCAAAAGCAAACCGAAAAAATCAAGATAATAAGGAGTTGAACAGAAGATTTCAGAAGGCGGCGAGGGAAGACAAAGTATTACAATGAAACGTGCAAGGAGCTGGAGTCAGAAAATCAAAAGGGCTGAACTCACTCAGCATCTCTTAAGCTGAAGGAACTGAAGAACAAGTTCAAACCTCGAGTTTCAATACTTAAGGATGCTTTGGACAGAATATTAAATGATCCAGGAAGCATTAAAAGAAATGAAAAGAGTATAGTCATTGTACCAAAAGGAACTGGTGGACACAGAAAAATTTCATGAAGCAATGTATGAGCAAGAGCCTGTGGGGATGAAGGAGGAAGTTCAAGCCGCTCTGAAAGAATTGGCAAAAACAAGGCCACAGAAATGGATGGCATACTGACTGACATATTTCAACAAACACATGCTGCCCTGGATGTGCTCACCAAGTTGTGCCAAGAAATCTGGAGGACAATCACTTGGCCTACTGACTGGAAGAGATCTATATGTTCCCATTCCAAAGAAAGGTGATCTGACAGAGTGTGGAAATTGTTGAACAATATCACTGACATCACATGCAAGCAAGATTCTGCTGAAGGTCATTAAAAAAACCCCAAAAAAACGGGAACAGCATATCAACAGAGAACTGCCTGAGGTGCGGGCTGGATTTAGAAGAGGCTGTGGCACTAGGGATATTATAGCTAAGGTCAGATGGATCTTGGCTGAAAGCAGAGAGTACCAGAGGAATGTCTATCTGTGTTTCATTGACTATGCAAAGACATTTGACTGTGTGGGATCATAACAAACTCTGGCTGACTCTGAGAAGAATGAAAATCCCAGAACATTTGACTGTGCTTATGCAAAACTTATACTTGGGACCAGTGGACAGTCATCAGAACAGAGCAAGGAAATACTGCATGGTTCAAAATTGAGAAAGGTGTGTGCCAAGGATGTGTCCTATCTCCGTATCTTTTCATTCTATATGCAGAACAGATTATTCGAGAGGCTGGGCTCTTTGAGAAGTGTGACATCAGGATTGGAGGTATACTCATCAACAATCTGCATTTTCCAGATGACATAACCCTGTTTACTGAAACTGAGGAGGACCTGAAGCGCTTGCTACAGAAGGTCAAGGATTGCAACCTTCAATATGGATTGAAGCTCACCATCAAGAAAACAAAGATTCTCACCACTGGGCCAATTGGTAGCATTATAATAGATGGTGAAGAGATTGAGATTGTTGACAGCTTCAGTTTGCTTGGCTCTAGAATCAACACTCTTGGCACCAGCAGCCCAGAAATTAAAAGATGAATTGCATTGGGAAAGTCTATTGTCAGAGACCTCTCCAAGGTACTGAGGAGAAAGGATGTCAGTCTGGGAACTAAGGTGTGCCTGATACAGGCCATTGTCTTTTCTATTACTTGCTGGACAATGATTAGAGATGATAGAAGGAGAGTTGATGCCTTTGAGCTCTGATGCTGGAGAAGAGTACGGAATATACCATGGACTGCTAGGAGAACAAACAAGTTTGTCCTGGAGAGGGTGAGACCAGGCTGCTCCTTGGAGGTAAGGATTCTGAAGCTTCATGTGGCATACTCTGGATATGTTGCAAGGCGTGGTCAGTCCTTAGAGAGGGCTGCCAAGCTTTGGAGGGTGAAGGGACATTGCAGGAGAGGAAGACCCTTGATGAGATGGATTGATTCCGTCAATTGTGTAATGGGAATAGGTGTGTAGAAGACAATGAGGTTGGCAAGAGACAGAGCAAGGTTTAGGGCTGTTGTACATAGGGTTGCCATGAGTCGCAAGCGACTCGATGGCACATAACAACAACAACAAGAAGCAATGACTAAAAAAGGTCTCACACCAAGGCACAGTACTATGAAATTTTTAAGCAGAAAGATAAACACTTGATTATTTTAAAATATCCAAAGAAGAAGAAAAATAATTTACAAATTCATGAGAAACAGTGAAACAGTATTCTGTGACACAGATGGTAACTTAAAAG